TCAAGCCTGGGCTTATACATAGTAATTATACTTGATAATACAGTGTCCTTAGACTTTATGGTTGGGTGAGTCAGATCACAAAGATCATGATTATGAGTAGAGATTCACTTATCCTGGTGACCACGTATTTAGAACATGCCAAGACTCAATTTCAAACCAGAAGCTGTTTCTCAAAAATAAATAGTTTTTTGTTTGTTTGTTTGTTTGTTTTACAAAAACTCATGGCTTTTCTCCAAAACCAAGTACTTTGAAATTGTAATTCTTCTGTTGTGACTTGCCATGGGTTCCTTATAACAACCTAATCTGCTTTAGATATTTGAGCACCATTGCATCCACACATGTACCCTCTGTTCTTGGGATCCATAGACCTTCTCCCAGCTCTGCTCTGTTCCTTCCCTCTTCCCCATACATGTGCAATTAATTCCCTTCTACCCAAGAGTTTGGGCTTTCTGCATATTGTGAAATTAAAATAGGTTAATGTTACTTTCCCCTCGCCTTTTAAGTGAGACACTGAACAAAAAGATCACCATGTACAGAAAAAGAATGCACAGAAAAAAAATGCACAGAAAAGAAATGTTAATAAATAGAAAGGGAGAAACTATAAACTAATATATCATATATAATTTTAGACATGCCTGGAACATAACAAGTCTTCAGTAATGGGAATCATTTTTTCCTTAATCTGAACAAGAGGAAAACCAATAACTTGTATTTAAACAATGAATGGGCAGCTCTGTGGAATAAGAAATAAATGTGTTCTTTGGAGGTTGTAGCATCAAATTTAGTCTCTCAAAATATAGATCTACATTCTCATCCCCAGAATCTATAAACATGACCATATTTGGAAAATGAGTCTGTGTGGATATAATTTAAGTTGTACACATCTTGAAAGACATCATCTCGGATTATTTAGATCTGCACTAAATCCAGTGAAAAGTGTCCTTAGATACACACAGGGAAGAGGAGAAGGAAATGTGATCATGAAGCAGAGATTGGAGCAATGTGGCCACAAACCAAGAAATGCCTGGAGCCGCCACCAAAAAAACAGAAGTCAACAGGGAGCAGACTTCCCCAGAGCCTCTGGAGGCAATGCATCCCTGCCAGCAAGCACCTTGCTTTTAGACTTCGAGCCTCTGGAACAGTGAGAGAAGGGAGCTCATTGCATTGAATTGGGGGTCTATTGGGACTTTTCTGCTGTTATTTTTCTAAGATTTAATATTTCTAAACACAGTTTTCTGGAATAACTTCTCAGGAATCCCCAGACTCACATTGTTGTTCACTATTTCTAATTGGGTTAAGAATAATACAATTAGGTCCAAGCAGGAAGATTAGTTTCCAGAAAAGGAGGAAGTCTCTGTTGACAATGCCTGGAAAACAGATTGGAAATACCAGATGGTGCTTCCTATGTGTGCAACCATCTCCCTGCAGTTAATTCATCTAATGCTTCTTTGCTGGTAGAAAATCAGACTTTCTTAAGGGCAAATAAAGAAATTGCCTTATTAATATTAACATAGTCTCTTTCTTTGGATCACCAGCCAACCTGGGACACAAAACTTGAAAACTTTGAGTTGACCTGAAAGTTAGCAAAATCATTATTCTTGCCTTTGAAAAAAAAAAAGAGAATTAATACTTTAAGTTCATTTAGGTTATCTTATTAGATTGCCATTCAGAAGCCACAGGTAGGTCTTAACCTAGGAATATGAAATGGTCAACTCCATGATCTTCTTCAAAATTTGAGTCAGTTTTTGCTTTCTAGAAAAATCAGATGACCTCCATATCACTCAATTTAATGAATATCTTTTAGCTCTCATCTGCATGTCTCACAGGATATCACTTTCTTGAAATTCTCTTTCCCATTATCCTCTGTGACCCTATGGGCTCTTGGTTTTCCTCTGATCTTTCTAGTCCACTGTATTATACCTCACCTTTAAATTTAACCTGGAATGCCAGATGACCCCCCAGTAGTTTATGGTGGTTGATAACACGTTGGGAAACCATGTACTTTAGCACATACACCCCTCATGGCTTAAACCAATCAATTCAAAGGAATCCCACTATTGTACTAACCAATCACCCTTACCCAACTCGTTCCTGCCAGTGAATGTGCTAATCAATGTTAAGAGTTGTTGTTTGATTTTCCCGCAGTGAGTGATGATTTGCTAAGAGATGCTATGATGTATGTAAAGTCCCTGCCTTCCCCAAAGAGTGTATAAAACTGCTACAAACCCTGGGCTTGGGGCCTCTCAGCATCACCAGTTGCTGTGTGCACAGAGGACCAAGCTACCTCACAAAAAAATGCCTCTTTGCTGCTTACATCAATCTTGGTCTCTGGTGGTCTTTTGGAGGTCCTGAACTCGAGCCCATCACAACATATCCAAAGAACTTTCTAAGTGCTGATAATGTCATTCCTCTGATTCACATCCAATAATGGTTTTACATTTCTCTTAGAATGAGATCTGTAACAGAGTGAATAATCTAGACTCTAACTACTTCACCTGCTTCACCTTAACCATTTCCTCTGACACTGTAGGCTTTAGTCATATTGACTGTGTCAGTTACTCATGTCAATTATATTGCAAGCCACCACCACATCACAGAAACACAAAACCATCATATATTGCTCATGTAGCCTTGACGGTTGGCCAAGCATACTTTCTTAGTTAGGCTTGCTTACTCATCTGGGGAAGCAAGTTGGCAATCAACTGAGGCACCTTAATTTTCCTCTCCCTGTCTCTCATCCTCCAGCAGACTATCCTGGACACATTCCTGTGGCAATTAAAGAAGTTCTAAACAAGTAGAAACTTACAAGATCTGGGTTTGGAACAGCAGATGTCACTTCCACAACACTCTGTTCATCAAATCAATCAAGTACATCCCAGATTCAAGAAGTATGAAAATAAGAAAATATATGTATGAAAATAAATGGAAACTTTTCTTGTGAGAGGAACATCAAAGGCACTTAGAAAAGGGTAAAAATAAAGAATGGAATTTCAGCATCATCATCACAATCTGTTGCCTTCATATCTGGAATATTCCCTTTTCCTTCTTGTTTCTACAAGGCTCCACCTTGACCTCACCACTCCCTTTAGCTGCCTAAAATCTATGCATTCTTCAGCACTTAGATAACAAAATTATCTAGAAGAAAGCTCTTACAACTGCCCCCTCCACAAAGCTCAGATATTTCTACCTCCTTACTTTGCCCCAGATATCCTCTTCTTGAGTCAGTACTTCTACCCACATAAATAATTGTGTAATTTGCAATAAAGTTCTGACCACCCTTTTGACAGTCTCAGTAACAGCAAGAAGAGATGTTTTTAAATAATTTTATTTTGTGTCTCTAGAACTGAACACAGTACCTTGCACAGATTAGGTGCTCAGCAAATATTTGCCCAAAATAAGACTGAATGCCTACAAATGAGAAAAGGATCTGTAGTTTTTATTAGAACTTCAAGTTGGTTGGCAATTCTCAAAAACATTAGGAATCACTTCCTGAGGATGATATGACTCTGGAAGATACACTTGGAGGATGGAAGTTCTACAGCTTGGGGAAATTGGGATCTGAACTGAGCACTCGGTTGGTGGCCTGGGGTCCAACATATCATACAGGAATATCTTGGGTCCTGTTGAAGCTTTGGTGGTAACCAAAAACTTACTTCCTCTACTTCATGTTTTTGTTCTCTTCCTATTGGCCTTTTGAACCAATTTGCAGAACTATTTTCATATCAATTCCTTTTTTGGCATTTTTATCACTATAGAGACAAGCAGAAGATAACTGCAAAATAAAATAGGTATTTTTTGAGATAATCCAGATACTATGTTGAACTCAGTTCACATTGCTTTGTTTTATATTTGCAGCATAGCCACACAATTGTATCATTATTTACATTTTACGGGTGAGGAAACTAAAGGTCAATGGGATTAAATAAATGAAGTTCTTAACTTTCATAGTCTTGACTTTAATCTAATGCACATTTTCAGTTTCGTTCTTTCTTTCTTAGTGGCAAAATAGACATAATTAAGAGAACTTAATTAAGCCTTAGCAGGATATTCCTTGGTGTAGGTTTTGCTGAGGCCCAAAACACTGTCTCCCAACATACAAATATATTTTTTTTCTTTTTCTTTGTGCACACTTTTTCTGTCATCTTTTGTCCCCCTTTCTCCCTTGTTTTTAATGCCCCCAATCTGCCTTGCATCAGATACCTCTCAGATATGATAGAGGAGGCTTTAGTCCTTTAAGTTGTATCTTCCAAAGCATCTGAGAAATGCTGAGAATTCCCCACCAGGCTTGCTGAAAGATAAAGTGTACCAAGTTTTGGAGCTTGAGAAATGTGAAATAGAATCTTCACTTTACTCATTATTAACCTACTAATTTTGAAAATATTTCTTAGTTTTTCTTTTTTCAGTTTTGAGTTCCTTATTTTGGGGGGGGAAAAAACCAATGCAATATGTCATCACTTTAACATAGCAGCCTTCAAATTAGCTTCAATTAAGCTGAGAGAGGGAAGGAGAGGCATGAAGGAAAAGAAGCACACAGAAAAGGTGGGCTGGAAACCTTCATCTAAGTGCATTAGACATATCCTGGATACAGAACTCACCGAACAGGAAATTCTACAGAAGGCTGTAAGTTTCAGAGGAAATTGAGTTGCAAAAGAAACCACTGGCGTAACTAAAAGGGTCAACTATTTGAGACGATAAAATAAGAGCTGGGCCTCTCTTTAAACAAGGAGATGATGGACATACTGTGCCCGTTTCAACGCCCAATCCCATGTATGACATCAACACTAAATAAAATTCCTTTCCTCCTCTATTGCATTCCCACCCTTAAGGATGATTCCATATTACGTTTCTAAGTATTAGATCACTGGGTTCTGGAGTAAATTGCTGACATCTACGCTTTAGAGCTCCCACCCTGTCAGGGCCAAGAGAATTGGAAGCAGAGATCAGAAGGGTGTTTGGAGGAGAAAAATCTTGTAATCACCTTTGGCATAACCAGTGGAGCTACTCATCCTCCATGAAGACATGATCCTTCTTCCTTCCAACTGACTCCACTCGTTCTCCCAGTAACACAAGCCCTGTGTGGAAATGACAGCATTTACTCACAAGTTATTCAACATGTAGACTCCTTTCTAACCTTCTGAACACTCCTCACGTCTCTGATGGCAGCTAAAAGTCAGAGTTCATGGTCTGACTAATACTTATGGGGACTGTAAATGGAATGTTTTTAAAGGAGCTGTCAATATTGACAGGAATCACATAAGCTCTTTGACTCTGCGATTTTTTTTCTTTTTTTTATCACCTCTGCTCTTTGCACAGCATGATCTTTGGATGTGATTTTTTGACAAAGCTTTCATTGGTGCCTTGTTCTGGTGGAATGTACACATTTCTATTGGCGGACTGGGAAAGCAGGGTCCTAACCTATTGCTGCATCTAGATCCTGGAAATCCAGGGCATCCAGTTGAATGTCTCCTTTAAGGAATTGGGGGTAGGGAGACTGGGAGAGGGAAAGAGAAAGAAGATGCTGTGGTTTCCCTTCCCTTGGGCTCCACTGTGGGCATGCCTGCTTCTACATGGGAAAAGCCTGCTCAAGTGCCCCATACGACCTTCCTTCCCACCCTTTCCTCCCTCCACCCATTGCATCCTTTCTTCTATAATCCATAGCCAGAGCTAGCTCACCCATGCTAAAGAATCTCTCTTCCCTCAACTCTGCTAAGAAAGCGCAAACAGGACAGAAACAAGGTCACCTCTCCTGGAGACATCTTGTTCCATTCCTTCTGTTTCTGGCATTTCGTTCTGTGTAGAGCTGAGGGCCTCCTCGCAGAGCAGAGTTTTTTCCTTTTTATCTAAAGCCACTGCTTCTGCTGTGTTAGGAGTTATTTTCTTGGTACTCAACCCATAAGAGATTAGGGAAGCACTAGTTCCCTTTTCTCCAATTAAGGAGAAAGTGAGCTAATTCACATGAAAGTATTACATTACTTCCAATCATTTTAAATTATGGAATTCTGGAAAAGGCTTAGAAAATAGACAAATGACCTCAGCCACTGGTGGTTATGTTTTGTTTAGCAATAAAAAGTTTTAACAAAATTGGAAAATTTCTTGTAAAAGTATGAATTCCTTGATTTTTTTTTTTTAAGGAAATCTGCCCATGCTTGACCAAATGTACAATTTATGCACAAACCACAACTTCCTTTAGACTGCCAGGATCCTTGGTTTTCCACAGACCTCATCACCACATCCTTTGCTTATTCATGGGAGAACAAAGGGGTTTCATTTTGGTTACCGGACTTCTCATAAAGCTTGAATTTGCAACTTCTGATTTAGAGGAATTTGTATCTGGATTGAAAGGAAGCTTCCTCTGAAATACTCCACCCTTTCCCAAGGTGAAACACTCACAGCTCCATTTTACCACCTGTCTTCCTCTTTAACCTGTCCAATCCCTTTCTTAGCACATGACAAGCACCTGGAATGCAGAGACAATTTCAGTGTTTAATGGAATTTTAGCACAGTCAAAATGATTAAAATGTCTGGTGGGTAGATTAGGACTCATTCAACTCTATTTTGTGTCTTTCCTGGCAGACTCTATAAGAATTACTCCAGAAGTTTCTGAATTTGTCATTTTTTTGGCTGTGTCTATCCTGCCATGTGATTCCTTTTGGAGGATGCTGTTAAGACTGTACATCTTCAAAGCACATCTTCTCTGTTTATACAAGTCCTACTTCCCCTCAAGCACAATCTTGTGTCCTCCCCTCTTAAAGGATGTTTTCAGATTTCCCATGCTAAGATATCACAGCACTTTTGTAGATTTATATTTTAGTACTTTATTTGGTAACATTAGGTGCTTGTTTTTCCCCACTGGTCTGTGGGGACAGAATGTACATTTTATTATTCTTTCTATCTTCAGTAACTGTCAGAACTAGGCACACAGAAGGTGTTCAATAAATACTTGTAAAATAAAGTGGCTTCAAATTTGGGGATCCTGACATGAACTTAAATTGTTCCTGTCTTAAACAATATATATAAAAAAGAAAACTAGAAAAGTACATGACATGTTATAAGGGTATACATCAATACACGAAGTACTAAAAAATATGTACTAAAAAATATATCCTCATGATATATATTTCTTCTTCTGCCTTATATGAAAGTGTAAAAATACAGAATCAAAATGTAATTGAGTCATTTAATAATTTAATATCGACACAATTAAGCAGATACTTCCGTATATATTTCAGCAGAGTTTTGGAGAAAAACTCAAACGTGCTAGCCATTTTTTCTTTTCTTTTTAACCAACTTGAATTATAACCCTATTATAACCTATCCTTTCCTCTAGAAATATTTCAGATAATGGACAGAGATCCTCCTGTGGCTTCGTGATTATATAGACACAATCACTTTTTGAGACGCTGTTACTGATAGACAAACACAAAACGGCTGAGAAATGAAAAATAAAAGCCCACCCCTGTTCCTCACTAGTTGCTATGGTTTGGATGAGGTTTGTTCTTAAAGGTTCATATTCTGGAAGCTTAACCCCTAGTTCTTGCATTCTGTATGCTTGCAGAATATGCACCACATGGATACCACCCAGGTCTGTGGCTTGTTCCTTTCAGAGTGACCGCATGTGCCAAGCTTGGACCTCTTAGACCATTTCCCTTCTACTTCTTCACCATGTTGTGATGTAGCTGGGGGCAGGGGTAGGGAGCTCATCTTGATGCCAATGACTCTCTATAGTCACCAGAATCATAAAACAAATAAATTTATTTTCTTTATAAAGGACCCAGATTCAAGAGTTTTGTTATATCAACAAAAAATGTACTGAGATAGTAGCAGAGCTGGGGTAGGAACCCAGGTGGTTCAGATTCCAAAGCCCAAACTCTTTTCTTCTTTATCTTGCTGGCAAAAATTATTTCTATCTAAGTTTCCATTTGAAGCCTTGTGAAAAATGACCCTAACGATCAATCATCAGAATTCATGAGGGAGCCCTCAAACGTTGCTTGCTTCTTTTGGAAAGATCCCTAGCCCAATATTTCTCAAATATCCTAGCTTTGTGACCATTATTTAATATATCTTTACCCTTGTGCCAGTCAGTTCTTGCAGGAAACCTAAGACTGGCTTCTAGGAAATTGCTTATTCTTCTAGACACTAATCTTTGTAAGGCTCTGCAAATCCTTATTCTGACCCTACTGCTCAGTAATCCCCACCTCCTGAAATCTTTGAACTCTGTTGCCTGGAACTTGGTCAACAACCAGTGAACTACCTTGTGTCCTTGATCTTTTTTTCTAAGGGTTCTCTTCCATCAGCTACACTACCTTATTTTGGCACCCCCTGAAGGACAGTGTTCACTTGTGGTGATTTAATTTTCCTTGTACCAATGGGCTTGGACATGGCATGAGTGGAAGTGTCTTTTCTACACACAATCCCCACCCTGCATTGCCACGACTAAGCTGCTCTAAGCTGCTTTCCTTTCCAACTGCTCTCTTTTCTATGAAAAGCCCTTTCTTTGCATTTAAAATGATCAGATAATTTAGCATCTTTGTTATAAAGTCCATCTACCTTACCCAGGTCATTCTCTCTCATTCCTTAAAGATTAAAGTTGCTGGTTAATTATAGGTACGTCAAACTGCTATTGTAATCATTGGTTATATCCCTGTGTGCATAGATGATCCTCACCTTTCTCTGGCCTCTTCCTCTCCACTAACCTAGCCTTCACTCCAGCTCAGGCATCCAACCTTGCTCCTGTAATTATATTCCACTCTGCATTCATACAGAAATCGCTACTCCCAGTGACCTTATTTTCACATTTTCTATTGTCACAAAACCATCTCCAATTTTTCCTGTTCACTTCCTCTAATACTCCAACTCTGGTTGCCTTTTCTCTGTACTTTATCCTTTAAATCTGTGGTTCTCAACTGAGGGTGAATTTTTACCTCACTTACTCCAGGAGACATTTGAAAATGTCTAGGGACAGTTATGGTTGTCACTTCTAAGAAGGTTCTATTCTCATATAGCCAGCAAAGGCCCAAGGTACACAGGACAGCCTTCTACAGTGAAGACTTATCCAGTCAGGTCTGTGAATGGTGCCAAGGTTGAAAAACTCTCACATTCCTAGGACTCTACCTGTATGTTATGGAAGAAATTGTGTCCTCCAAAATAAGATGTGTTGAAGACCCAACTCTCAATTCTATGGAATATGATTTTATTGGAAGACAGGATCACTGAAAATGCAGTACAATGCAGTAGTGTGGGTCCCTAATCCATTAACAACTGTGTTCTTCTAACAGAAGCACCACATAAACCATGGTTCTGTTCTACTTGATTAAATACACGGCTTTGCATATCTAAGATTGTACCAAAAAAAAAAAAACGCATATAGATGATGAAAAATGAATGTGATATTGTTGATGTATATAAAATTGTATGCAAATATAGCAAGTATAAGAATCATTATATTGTTTCCAATAGGCTTCCTGTTAAAAATGTTTAAGAGAAATCAAACAATAGACAAGTGATTTTAACTGAAGTTCTTGGAAGATTTTGCCCACTTGTGTTTGTACATTTTTTTTTTTATTTTTTGGTTTTGCACCAGAGATGGAACCCAGTGGCACTTAAACACTGAGCCACATCCCAGGCCTTTTTTACTTTTTATTTTGAGACAGAATCTCACTAAGTTGCTGATGCTAGTCTCAAATCTTTGATCCTCCTGTCTCAGCCTCCTGAGTCACTGGGATTACAGGCAGGTGACACTGTGCCCAGCTATACCAATTTTAAATAGTTAAGATAATTTGATTTACTGAAATTTTGAGTTTAGGTTTTAAGATTTTGAAATGTTTAAGAGAATCATAGAAATGTTTAAGTTTTATTATCAGCTTTAGTACAGTTTTTATATATTTTGGGAAGGTTTTGTTTCTAGAATTTCTATTCTGCTTTTTTGGATGTTAGAAGTTCTTGAACAGATCCATTATATTGATGTTGTGATTATAGCTAGAAATATTTACAGGAATACAATTAACCAGGTGTATAAAATGTGCTTATGTGTTTAGTAACAATCAAATTGCTGGGTTTAAAAGTACACTTGTTGAATTACATACACTTTGAAATATAATATACTAGTCAAAGATTTATGCACATTTTATTTGTGAGATGTATATTGATCAAACAATAACCAGATACAAACTATGCTTGATCTCAACCTTAAAAATTCATAGATTTATGAGTTAATTTGCTAGATTTTTTTAAACTATATTTAAAGCTTAAGAAAAGTAAGGTTTTCCATTTATAGCTGTAGTAGTATGTAGTAGATTCAATGTCAAGGGTTAACACAGGCTACTATAAGCATTGTTTTCTGCACAAAAAAGCCTTTATGAGGTTTTTTTTTTTTTTCTTTTTTAAAAGCTTTACTGATGTCAGACTGGGATTGATTAAAAAAAAAAAAATCTTTCTGATGAAAGTGTCACCAAGGCTGAAAAGAAAAGAGTCTGAAAAGAGTGATACAGGAAGAGCCTGGGTGGGACAGAGGGAAGAAATTGTGTAGGGAACTTGAGGACTTCATTCTCAGAGGACGAAATTTAAAAACAGGAATTCCTAGGGAAGCAGATGCCAAAACTCCTTAACTGGAAAAGTATGCAAAGCAGAGGAGAACAACTCCTCCAAATGCCTCCCACTTTCAGTGTGCGGTGTGTGTGCGCACACCACACACACACAGATGCACAAACACTTGTATGAGAAAAATGAATCCAATGGCTTCGTCCAGACCTCTCTTGTGTGAAGAGGCCTTGGTGGGCAGTGGCCCTGGGGAAACAAATAAGGCTTTTGTTAGTGTTTCCTTGAGCAGAGCCTCGTGCCAGCTCCAGAGCTCAGGAAAAAGAG